TCACCACCCACCGCCAACTCTTGAGCTACTCTTTTACCAACGAATAGTGGGATTGACCGCGACTTTATAACGCCCCCACGGCTGAAAGGGCGAACATATTTGGTGGGACGAGGATTCGAGCCCGCGCCCCCTCAGATTACGAATCGAGAGCCCTAACCACCTGGCCATGCAGGGCCAGTACGAAATGTAAATTGTCTTCAGGGCTAGATTGATAATTTCAAAAACAAATATTGTATTATCTATAAATCTCTAATAATATCATGACAAATTTGAACTTGCTCACCTTTTCTCCTAGATAAAGAATTCGGGATTGCCCTTCCAGCGGCAACTGAGAGACCTACATAAAATCTTCAGACCATATCTTATCTTAGGACTCATTAAGATGTAAATCACAGGTTTCCAAATCGAGTCGGAGATTCCAAGCCAGAAGAGACAGAAGTGGAGAGAGTGAACTCCGATGTGGTGCCCCATGAGTTGTTCGTAAATCAGAAGCGAAAACCAAGGACCCCAAGAGATGGTGAACACCAAGATGAGAACAAAGGCCATCATGTGGTCAGGATTGGAGAGGTTCTCGCTCATGGCGGTGGCGTATTCCTTCTCTTCCTTCGTCATGCATTGGCGCATCTTATGCATCGTAGAGAATATGTAGAAGAATGAGTAGACAATGGTGATGACAGCAGGGGCTAGGATAAGAACCAGGAGTGTCGCGCTGTACGGAAGCATCCCTCCAAGATCCAGCATACACACAAATCCGTCCTCGTAATAGACCCCCTTGGAGAGCCCAAGGAGGGGCGGGCAGCAGAGAAACATGGACGTCACCCAGGTGAAAACCATCCAGCACTGACATCGGGTTGGAGTCTGTATGGTGTCGTAGCGAAGAGGTTTCCTGATGGCCAAATAGCGATCCACAGCAACCCACATAAAGGTGTAGACACTGACACTCCAAAGGGTCAGTTCTAGGTAGCCACTTATTCTACACAGAAGGTGGCCGTACATCCAGTGCCGGGACACCGCTGGATACACCGACAGAGGGACGATGACCACCCCACACATCAGGTCTGCCGTGGCCACGGACAAGATGTAGTAATCCATGGCCTCTTTTTGCACCGGCGATGTCAAAATGGTGGCAATAGCAAGCACATTGGTTCCAATAATCGTCAAGCAGATCATTAAGATAACAACTGCTTCTACTATACGGTCAGCCGTTATCTGAAGCTCTCCCGAACTGCTAAGAGTGACAGCATCGTTTTCCAAGTGTCCAATCATAGTTTACTCCTCTTAGTAAGTAATCTTACGGTTACGGTTAGATCCAGTCTGAAATAACAAGAATATTTACAACCATTATTGTATCACCTCACCACACTAGAGAGTAACTAGAACTAACGTTACCAAGACTGTTAGAACTAACGTTACCAAGACTGCTCACCTCACCACACTAGAGAGTAACTAGAACTAACGTTACCAAGACTGCTCACCTCACCACACCAGAGAGTAACTAGAACTAACGTTACCAAGGCTGTTCACCTCACTACGTTAGAGAGTAACTAGAACTAACGTTACCAAGGCTGTTCACCTCACTACGTTAGGGAGTAACTAGAACTAACGTTACCAAGGCTGTTCACCTCACTACGTTAGGGAGTAACTAGAACTAACGTTACCAAGGCTGTTCACCTCACTACGTTAGGGAGTAACTAGAACTAACGTTACCAAGGCTGTTCACCTCACTACGTTAGGGAGTAACAGTAAAATCATGTTCTTCGTCTACGTTTTGGGGATTATTTCAGGTATATAGAGTATCCCTAACGGTTTGAGGGGCTTTTGTTGCAGACATTTTCCTTTTAAAAGTATACCTTTCGTATTTCATTGACATCATTTTTAATTTTCCTGCTGTGTTCCTAGAACAATAGTGGGTTCATCTGCATTATTACATTTGTTTTCCTAGTTTAGTTGTACTTCGTCGTGAATTTCATGCAAAGCTACACGGGGGCTATATGCGATAGTCGTTCCTAATTTAGCAATGATAGACTAAAGAGAAGGCAGCTAGTCAACACAACCCACCGCCAACTCTTTGGCTACTCTTTTTACCAACGCCACATTATAACGCCTCCACGACTGAAAGGGCTAGCATGTTCTGTTTATTTGGAAACAGGCAATTCCCTCTCCTCCACCCACCCACAATCACAAACCTTAATCTTAATTATTATCCATTCGTACAAAACGTTTCACTAGCATTATTAGTATTTAAAAGAGTAACACAAAACAGTTTATTGATGTAATGAAGCTAGTGCATTACAAGTGTAATAAAAAACAAATATAATCTTTAAGAATCACATGATATCCCCCTTCATGTAATCCATAAGTTTGTCATGAGTTCTGGACTGTGTCGTAAAGCTTCCTAGTCTTAAAGTTAGTCTTCAAAACAACTGAATTTTAAAATACATGATATCCCCCTGTATGTAATCCATAAGTACATGATATCCCCTGCATGTAATCCACAAATAAATTATATTTACCATACATATAAACCACAAATAAATGATACTCCCCTGCATGTAATCCATAAGTACATGATATCCCTCTGCATGTAATTCACAAATAAATTATATTCACCATACATGTAAACCACAAATAAATGACACTCCCCTGCATGTCATTCATAAGTACATGATATCCCCCGGCATGTAATCTATAAGTACATGATATCTCCCTGCATGTAATCCACATATAAATGACATCCCCCTGCATGTAATCCATAAGTTTGTCATGAGTTCTGGATTGTGTCGTAAAGCTTCCTGATCTTAAAATTAGTTAAAGTTAGCCTTCAAAACAACTAAATGTTAACGAATAATCGCCAGAAACTGGTCACACGCGGCGTGGGGGGTGAGGTGGTGAATATGCAGTAACTACAATTTTGCCAAAGATCACTTAGTTTTAGTTCTCTCGTTCTAGAGACCCGTATAAGAGGAGACTGATATTTTTAGACTGTCCTACAAATAGGTGTCGTTCTAAGTGGCTCGAAAACACGGCGTAAATCTCTTTTATTCAATCCTACAACAAAAATAAACAGACGGAAAAACGTTTTCCTTCAAAAATTTAAACGTTGCTGCAGAAGTGGTAAAAAATGTAATAGGCACTTTGAGATGAACTTAAAAACAAAGTGTCGCTCTTTTTAGTTTACCTATGATTTCTACTGATACCTTTTGGTATCCGCCCCTCACTGGTTTATCATTCTCCCCTGAATATATTCACGACATTGGCTTATCTGTGTCTGTTATCCTTCTCCCCTTAATATATTCACGACACGAATTTATCTCTTTGTGTTATCCTTCTCCCCTTGATCTATTCACGACACTGGCTTATCTGTGTGTTATCCTTCCTCCCCTGAATATATTCACAACATTAGTTTATCTGTGTCTGTTATCCATCTCCCCTTAATATATTCACGACACGAGTTTGTCTCTGTGTGTTATCCTTCTCCCCTGGATCTATTCACGATACTGGATTATCTATGTGTTATTTTTCTCCCCTGAATACATTCACGACATTAGTTTATCTGTGTGTTATCCTTCTCCCCTGAATATATTCACGACATAAGTTTATCTGTGTGTGTTATCCCTCTCCCCTGGATCTATTCACGACACTGGTTTATCTACGTGTTATTCTTCTCCCCTGGATCTATTTACGACACTGACTTATCTGTGTGTTATCCTTCCTCCCCTGAATATATTTACAACATTAGTTTATCTGTGTCTGTTATCCTTCTCCCCTGGATCTATTCATGACACTGGTTTATCTATGTGTTATTCTTTTCCCCTGAATACATTCACGATCCTAGTTTATCTTGGTGTGTTCTCCTTATACCCTGAATATATTCACGACATTAGCTTATCTGCGTGTTATCTTTCTCCCTTGAATATATTCACGACACTGGTTTATCTGTTATCCTTCTCCCCTTATTATATATACACGACAATGATTTTTTTTGTGTGTTATCCTTCTCCCCTGAATATATTCACGACACTAGTTTATCTGTTATCCCTGTCCCCTTATTATATATTCACGACAATGATTTTTTTGTGTGTTATCCTTCTCTCCTGAATATATTCACGACAATGGTTTATCTGGATATGTTATCCTTCTCTCCTGAATATATTCACGACAATGGTTTATCTGGATATGTTATCCTTCTCCCCTGAATATATTCACGACAATGGTTTATCTGGATATGTTATCCTTCTCCCCTGAATATATTCACGACAATGGTTTATCTGGATATGTTATCCTTCTCCCCTGAATATATTCACGACAATGGTTTATCTGGATATGTTATCTTTCTCCCCTGAATATATTCACGACAATGGTTTATCTGGATATGTTATCCTTCTCCCCTGAATATATTCACGACACTGGTTACCTATTTTCTCCCCCCCCCTAAATATTTCACTCATTTCTTACATCCGCACTGTCCTTCGCCTCTGACTATTTTCAATCACTGGGTTTTCTCTCTGTTATCTTTAATTGCTGATTTTTATCCACTCACTAATTTACCTCTCTGTTATCTTTGCTGTTTTCTTTTCACCCATTTATTTATTTCTATGGTAACCTTCTCTACTAAGTTTTCCCACTTACTGGTTCATTTTTATGCTGAATATTCTACCTACACTCTTCCCTCTCTACAATTGTTCTCCCAAACTTCTCCTAACTTTTTACAATATTCTGTAACATTGAATGTTCAGTTCACAAGATTATCTATAGTTCCGTGAACTTTCCACTCGTTGGATTATTATAACGTGTTTCTAAATCCATTCACACTGGTTCATCTTTGTATTACCTTAATTCCCTGGTTATTATTCTATCTATTTTATTATTAGGTTATTATTCTATTTTTATCTCTGAGTTATCCTAATTCGCTGGTTATTATTCTATCTATTTTATTATTAGGTTATTATTCTATTTTTATCTCTGAGTTATCCTAATTCCCTGGTTATTATTCTATCTATTTTATTATTAGGTTATTATTCTATTTTATCTCTGAGTTATCCTAATTCCCTGGTTATTATTCTATCTATTTTATTATTAGGTTATTATTCTATTTTATCTCTGAGTTATCCTAATTCCCTGGTTATCATTCTATCTATTTTATTATTAGGTTATTATTCTATTTTTATCTCTGAGTTATCCTAATTTCTTAACAGTTATTCTTTTTCGTCTGTCTCTGCGATGTTATAGTTTTTGTTCCATTTTGGTTTATCACCATGTACCCCTAACTCTATAATTGTTTTCTCCATAGTTTTGTTTTCTTCTAATTCACAGATTTTTTTATCTCCTTTTCCATCTAGTTTATTTCTGTATTACTCTAATTCTCTGATAGCTTTTGCCTCTCTCTCCCTCGGGTTTCTCTCTGTGTTATTTCAATTCCCTGACAGTTTTTTTCTCTCTGTGTTATTTTAATTCCCTGATAGTTTTCCCTCCGTCTGGTTTCTCTCTATGTTATTTTAATTCCCTGACAGTTTTTCTCTCTGTCTGGTTTCTCTCTGTGTTATTTTAATTCCCTGACAGTTTTTCTCTCTGTCTGGTTTTTCTCTGTGTTGTTTTAATTCGTTATAATTTTTCTCTATATCTGGTTTCTCTCTGTGTTATTTTAATTCCCCGATAGCTTTTTCTCCCTCTGTCTGATTTATTTCTGTGTTATTTCAATTCCTCCACTATTCGAACTAGTTCACTTGCGAAGTATGTTTGATCAACAGATCATGTTCCCATAGTAACTCTAAATTATTACTGTTCTTCACATAAATTTATGGTTTTACAGATCATTAAGCAATCCTTACCTTCACCAGCCTTATCGTTCTATCTTTTCTCCGAGAGATCGGACCAACAGGATATCGAATATCACTGTTACTCTCTCTTCTCCGAGCTTGTTGCTTCCACGGCACGTGATGCACGTTGACGTATTGGCTACCGACACTGCTGTAAGTATATGAACGAACGTTGCTCGTTGCTAGACGGTAAGTGAAAATAATCAGACGATTAGGCTAGTTGGTCTCGGAGAATATACTTGTCTGAGGATAAACAAACAACAAACATGGTGCATTACATATATATCTATCTATACGGGGGGGGCTGGTATCCCACTAACTTTACCAACATTAAACTCCTTCTAACATCCCACTGTACCAAACTGGTTTAAACCTCCTTTTTACCACTTCACCTGTTCCCTTCTGCTCCACTGTCAAGCTCGGAAAGCGCACACAGCGCCCTCTTTCCATTGAGTGATACCAGTTCTGTATAGAGAAACATGGCGTCAGTTGTGAATGGCAGCAACCGTTCATCATATGTTTATCTATAGCTGCAAAGTTACAAAACCTTTATCCCTGGTCGATATTTTTTTTTTTTTTGCGTATGTAAACAGAGAGATACGCCCGCTAGTTCATGATTTTATAAATGTCCAAATGATTGGACGTTCAACAATTGATGTGTAACAAATCCAGCACACGCCGAAACAGGTTGTGTATTGGTATGTCTCATGTGTAACTTTGTCATTTCACACATTCAAACTTAAGTTTAACTTCTGTTTATATATTTCACACATTCAAACTTAGTTTAACTT